GTGGAAAGGCAAAATAATGTGCAGAGGTACAAGCGACAAGAGGAACAGGAGAAAGCCAGAGACAATGCCAAACAGGACCGTCATGCTGGCTTCATACAGTAAGTATTTAAATTACTGAATCCTAAATTGACCTAAAATAAATGTGCACATTGGCAAAGCACTTAGCACTAAGTTCTGCTGGAAATTATGTTCTTGTGTTTGGTCAGCCATAAAATGGTTTGGATAATAATAAATTGTTCACTAATTAATTTGTAAATCTGTTTACAGTGACATGAAACTAGAGAGTGCTGCCACCTCCTCTCTGGAAGACCGTGTGAAGAGAAACATTCACTCTATTCAGAGGACCCCTGCTGCTCTGGAGAAGAACTTCATGAGAAGATGAGACCATAAAGAACATGGAAACTTTCACCTCTGTCTTTTGTTTTAAGATTTTTGTAATTTTTAATTAACATCATGATGCCAGATCATGGTTGTAAATAAAATGTACAAATGACACCTGTTCTCCTTATGGGCTTTGTCTTAACCAACTGACCAACCTGTTCCAGTCATCAGTACTATGTCTGTAAACTCAGCACACACACACACAAAAAAAGTTCAGGGACTATTTATTCCATTCCAGTTAGTGTGAAACTTGTTCAGTTTGTCTCAATCGTTTAACATTTTATGTTAAAAGTGGAAAAAGTTGGTAAAAAACACATTTGCACACAAACAGACCACCAACTGCAACTTTCAGGCGCCATTTTTATTTTATTTTTTGCTAAGCTGTCACAGAGTAGAACACACAGGATTGTGGGATATCAAAGGCAGCTAAGGATACATCTATGCTGCCTTCAAAAATCCATCAGATGAAGGTATCTCAGGAAACAGGAATTGAAGCTAACACTGGATTCAGACATGCCTGATGCCTTCCTACCACCATAACCAAATTATGTATTTTGTGTCATATCTCCTGAACCAAACATGATAACACAGAAAATGTGATGTCTACCCCTATGTTTTGATGGTCAAGGATGACAATGACACCATATACAGCAACATAAACTATTCAGATGAAGAGTTAATGGTGAAATCAGCAATGTGAGAAGGAAACCACAGTATCGGAGTATCACAGAGCATTTACAATAGTCCATATTATAGCTATTAATTTTTTCTTTCTTTAATCATTAATATTTTATTCAATAATACATTAAAAGATTGGGTTACACTTTATTTTAAGGTGTCCTTGTTACAGTGTAATTATTTAAGTACTGAGTAATATTAATTAACTACATGTATGCTTAGGGTTACTTGCATGTAATCGGGCGGGGGACGTGTCCCCCCCCCACTTCTAATAGCACGTAAATTCGTCCCCCGCACTTTTTCGGGCAAGTGTGTTCGCATAGAGGTTTTCAAGAGCCGGTGTGAATAAATATAGATTTAAATTCAAAGAGACTTGTGTTAGTGAGGCCAGCAGGGGGTGCTCACCCTATGGTCTGCGTGGGTCCTAACGCTCCAGTATAGTGATGGGGACACTATACTGTCAAAAAAAAGCACCGTCTTTCGGATGAGACATTAAACCGAGGTCCTGAC